ATATATATATATATATGAGCTTTGAAAGGGTAGAAAACCCCATATTCTTCGCTTGCTATGTCGGCTCTCACCAGTCGTCAACGGCAAAGCCAAAGTCGCGGTCCCTGCAACAGTAGTACGGCGCGAGAAGCGACCAGACATAGAGGAGCACCGCCGCCCACACGGTTGTACTGCGCACCCAGAAGGCGATGTTGATGCTGCTAAGCAACGCACCCTCGCCCAGGCCGCTCACATGCCACCCTGTCGCCAGCATCGCGAGGTACATCGCGCCCAACACCATTGTTGCATAAAAGAACATGTAGTGTCCGAGGTGGCCACTCTCTTCGGGGTCCTCCTCCTCGCCGTCCTCGTCGCGTCCGATGCCGAGGGCGCTGCTGTTGCCACCAGAAGAAACAACGCTGTATCCGAGTGCAAAGCTGCTAACAACACTCGCGAGAAGCATCTGCTTTATCGACGCCGTATCGCCGTTCGGCACCGCGAGACGATTGCAATATGAATCCGTGCCGGTACGCAGTGTCACGAACATGATGCTACTCGTGTACAGGAAAACTATGCTGCTCGGTACCAGGGAGCCGTGCGGGACCCAAATGGACAGTACGGTGTATATGAGCCCACTCACAAGCACACTGGAAATAGCAAAGGCGTTGTAATTGCAGTTCTGGTGTGGGACGTACATGACAAACGAGACCACGTTGAAGGCTACGCCTCCGGCATAGCACAGAACCGCCATGGCCAGCAGATACCACATCCACTTGCTGGAGCGCTCGCTTCTCCGTCCCCAGTCATCACTCCACTGGTAGCTGAAGTCCACCAAGAAGATGACATTCATCAGGAGGAATATGCCAGACGAAACGAGGCACGCGTACGCGTAAAAACCAAAGAAGCTGTTTGGGATCCAAAACGTTGATGCAAACAGAAGCAACAATAGAATGGTCTTGGCAAAGAAGAAGCGCTTCTGGAACTCCATCCGAGCCTCGCTTTGGATGCAGCACGTCAGGTCAGAGACGGACAACCAGTGGAGAAAAAAGAATGCAGCGAGGGCGAAGCTAACGCGGTAGACGAGCACCTCACTCGTGCAGAAGTTACTGTTGCCGCCACTGGCAAACTCACACCCCTTCTGAATTATTTGGACATGACTGAAGAGACTTGCGAGAGTACCGCGGAGAACCATCGTCGCGATGAGGCCGACAAACAGGTAGCATGCGTACTGCACCCGCAGCAGCACACCAGGGGCGAACATCCCGTTGCGGTTAGACGACCGGCTCTTGGTGTCGTCCTCGTCAGACATGAGTTGCAGAGTGTACCGAGAATTTTGTTTTCTTTTCTTTTATTCTCTTGTCCCCACTCTACGCGGCAGGGCAGAGTGTAGAGACACGCGGAATTTTAAAAATAAAATAAAAACGAAAAGAAGAACACAGACAAAGGGGGACAGGATTTCTTTTCCTTGTTTAAAGACAAAGGAATGAATAACAGGAAGAAAAGCGAAAAAAAAAACACTTTCCTTACGGTCAGAAGACCGCATCAGATGTCCCGTGGCTGCATACATCCATCCATGTACCATCGTACATTCGCGCCTGTTGTCGGAGGCGCTGCGAGAGCCAGCGGTTATATAGACAAAGAAACTGCTGTTTACATACCAAGGATCACTACCACTGTTGCTCCAGTGTAGCGTCTTTTTTTTTCCGTCTAGAGAAAAGAGAAGCATATCACACGTTTCTCTCACACACACAGACAGACAGACAGGCCCTCTTTCCATTTTTTTCCCCCCCTTTGCTCTGGTTGCTTCCAATAGCGTCGCCACTTTAGGCGAAGCGTTGATCATCCGTAATGAGCGAGAATTTCGTGTACCCAATCCCCCCACCGCCTATGCTGTGCACCTTCCGCAGGGCGTCCGACTGCGCCGGGCTCAGCTGCACACCGAGAGACATGAGCGTCGCGAAGAACTGTCCCTCCTTCACAAAGCCCTTACGTGTACGGTCGTACTGCCGGAACGCCGGAAGGGAAACAGAGCGTCGCGAGGCAAGCGTGCGGCGCACAGTGTCTATCGCCGATTTATAGAGCTCTGTCTGCGCGTCCTCGAGGCTTTTCACAGCACTCTGCGCACCACATGCCGCATCATCACCCGAAGAAACCGAATTGGGCACCATAGCAGCAGCAGCACTACCAGCAGTAGAAGCGGCGGAACCGGCAGTAAGAGGGCCCAACCCTCGGCGGCGCTGCGTTACTGCCATTATGCCTACACCCGCCCTGAGCTTTTCCGACACAACCGACACGAACGCCGGGTAGTCGACATGACCTTGCAGCTCCGGGTGGGCGAAGGCCGTCTCGAGAGCGCGCAGCTCCTCCTCCGTGAGGTCGAGACCCAATATCGACACGCAATGCCGGAAGCGGGTGTTCGTCACGTGGCGGTGTCTCAGCTCATCGCCGTCAGGGAAGAACTCAGCGAGTCGCGCGTTGCGCTCCTGCAGAAAGCAGCAAATCCTTGTCAAGACTTGATCCACGAGACCCTCGTCCACCAGCTCGTCGCACACGCCGCCGTCCATTACTCGCATCGTTGTCATGCCCACATCCGAGCGCATTGAGTTGGGCGCCTCCCGCGGGCTCGCCACTGCCGCCTCGTTGTGGCCGACGTCGCGCACAAAGCGCAGGTACTCAATCAGCTCCGTGTCCTCTGGCGACGCATAGTAGCGCGACAGCAGCCGTGTCTCTGCCGGCGTCAGCACGAAGCGGTGGCGCGCGAGGGCCTGAAGAAAGTTGGACCGCAGTATCTTACCACGGTGGAAGCGGTCAAAATCGGTGAAGAACGGTGCCAGCAGCGCGTGGTGGGCGGCGACATCGTGCCGGAGGCGGGCGAGGAGGCGCCGCAGCTCCTCGCGTTCGGTTTCGGTGAATTTGTCGGCGGGTGTCGTGACCGCGTCTTTCAGCATCGCCGCAGCGGCACCGGTCATGCTTCGGGACGCCGTGAAGTTAAACTTCGTCGTGACAGAGGGCACGACAGTCGGTGCAATCTCCCCGACATCGGCGCAAAAACGGTTCGTGTCGATGTGGTCACGCGCCTTAGTGGACTTGTATTCCGTCTGCAAAATCTCTAGCTCATGCGGATGCAGCTGCAAGCCGGCAATGCCGAGCGCCACGGCGAACTTCTCCGTCTGCACAATGCCGCTGCGCAGCGGGTCAAAGTCGATGAAGAACTCGTTGACGCGAAGTTGCCGCTCCTCCGCCTGCGCAGCCACCTTCGCGAGTACTGCCGGCACAGTGTCGGCTGGCGGGGGCCGCATGCCCTCCGCCTCTTTCTGCAACTCTGCCACGGCCGAGGATTGAAACAGGCGCGCAGGCTTGAGCTCTGGTTTGTGCGCCTGGTCAACATCCATAACAAACTGGTAGTAGTTTACCTCATCGCCGGGACTGCCGTCCGCGCTTCGAATGACATATTGCTTCACAAGGAGCGCGAGCTCCTCAGGCTTCAAGAAGATCTTGTTGGTGGCCAGCGAGCGCTCAAAGCGAGACTTGGTGCAGGTGCGATGTTCGTAAATGCCCTTCCGCACTCGGTCGAAGTCGTGTAGTGTAGGAATGAGTTGGATTCGGTTGGAGCGAACCAGTTGCCGCACCTTGTTCACTACTGCCTCGGCGCGCTGGTATTCTTCATTGCTGGCGTCACCGAGGAACTGACCAGCGTTTCGTGTCTCTTCGTAGTAATTGGTCGCACCCAGTGCAGTATCATCGCGGCGCGGGTTCGTGTCAGCGAGGAATTGCACGTAGTTGACCCGTGGAAACACTTCCTCGTTAGTGCCGCTGTCAGTGGACTCCCACGCGGCGTCAGTGTACGCCCGCGCCAGTGTGTCGATGTGGTCCGCTGTGAGTCGGAAGTTAACGAAACGCAGTCGTCCGAGCGCCGACTCAAACTGTGGCGCCGTCACAAATCCCGTTCTGAAGTGGTCGTAGTCCCGCAGGTAGTCGTCGCAGCGCAGGCGGTACATGGCGAACTGCTCCCGCAGCACGCGCACAAGCTCATCGACAGAGAGCGGTTCAGTCCGGCCGCGTGGCGACGTGAAGGGCGAGCAGCCCGCGGAACCCGTCGCCCCCTTCGGCGAGTCAGTGTCGTCGTCGAGGTCTCTGCACCACGCCGCGTAGAGTACATCGCCATCTTCGTTGCCGTACTTCTTGATGATGAGCTGCAGCACATCCTCCCGCATCGTCTCGAACGGGAGGCAGCGGCGGAACCGCGACGCAGTTACCTTGCCGCTGCGGAACGGGTCAAAATCTTCAAAGGCCTTGCGCATTTGTAGCCCGCGCACCCGCACCGCGTGGCGCAGTGAGCGGATCGCCGCCTCCAGTGTGTGCTCCTCTTCGGCGGAGAGCACCTTCGCCTTGCGCCCCAGAGTCGTCAGCAGCTCCGCCGGCGGGTCCTCCGCGCGAAGTGCCTGCAGGAACGCCAGGTAAGACACGTCAGCCGCGTCCGCGCGCGGGCCACTGACGCTAGCCGTGTGGTTGACCGCAGGGGCGGCAAACGCACTTGCGAGTGCGGCGAACTCCTCCTCGTTGAGCTCAATGTGGTTAACGGCAAGGGCGCGGCGGAACTGTGCGGCGGTGATGCGGCCCGATCGGAGGCTGTCAAAGTCCATGAAGAAATCGTCTAGGCGCAGTCGACGCTGCGCCACGTGCAAACGCGTGCGCTGCAGCACATCATCCACTACACCCATGAGGGCCTTGCTGTGCTGTCTCCTTGCTCTTGTTGCTTTTGCGAACTCGCCCACTCTCGGAAGCTATCAGCCGTAGAGAAAAACCACAAGAACGACCCATAATAGAGAGAGAGAGAGAGAGGTAGGGAGGGTGGGAGCAAGAAGGCGATGACTAGAAAACAAAGCACAGCTGAGAGCCAAAACCACGTGCTGGTCAAAGGCAGTTCCTCTGTCCCCTCTTCAGAGAAAGAGTTGCAAACACTCTGGAAATTCAGGCACTCGGCCCAGCATCCGTGCCCCCGCCGCCACTGTACCCATTATTGCGCCAGCCGGCCGTGCTGAACGGCAACATGGAGTCAGTGGTGGCGACAATCTCGCGCGGGAACAAGAAGCACGTGAGTAGCGCAGCTGTGGCGGCACCGTTGCGAAATGCGCGGTACGCCCCCCAGGGCGCACTCTTCACAACCACAAAAACGCTCGTGGCGCTGATGCCCGCCGCCGGCAGAATCCAGCGACGCGTGCGGAGTTGCTCGCTGGCCATCGACGTCTGATTCATGACGAAGCGGTCGGCCTGCGCTGTGTACATTTTTGCGGTGGCGAGGTAGCCGGCGAAGTCAAAGACGTTGCCCAGCACGGCGCCGAGCAGCCACACCCACTGCCGCGTGGTCGTCACGCACCACTTGAGCCACGGCCACTCACCCTCCCAGAGCGAGACGACGCCGCGGTCTTCGAGGCTCATTTCAGCACCTTCGCTAACGATACAATCTATTCCCCCCCCCTTCGGTGTTCGCCACCATGTGTGAATAAGCAGCAACAAGCAAGAACGAAAGAAACGTTCAATCGGCCAAAACCAAGACCTCTCAACACGGTGAGAGGCAAAAACAGGTAAGGGGATAGAGAAGCAAATGGATCATGTATCTTGTCGCTACCAGGTATCGTCCATTAGTTTTGATGTTCACGCTGAGCAAACAACGGAAGCACAAACCAAAGAAAAATAGGCAATAGTGGTAGTAACAGCAACGCAAGATAAGCACAAAGAGTGTGCGCCCTTGTGTGTGGAGAAATGCCGATTCACGATATCAACGGCTGTCGGCCATCTCGAATTACCGCGGCGAGGATGTTCGGACAGGTGTTGCGCAACAACGCCACGACAGGATCATGGGTATCCTCATCGCTCCGTTTATGCGCCTCAACATGGGTGTCGAGCAAGCGGCTCACCCGCCAGTCCACTGTCTTGCTGTCAGTGTTGTGCGGCCTCACACCTTGTCGGCCGGTAGTCTCAAGCGGATGGTCTGACAGCAGCCGGTTCACGTACAGCACCCTTCCCTGCTCCACACTGTCCGCGCTACCGTTGCCGTAGTCGCGGCCCCAGCGGCGCGCACGGCATATTGCTTGACGTTCTTCCATCTCCGACGGTAGATGAGCAGTGTCGAAAAAAATAATACGATCGGCACCGGAGAAGTCCACCCCGACTGCGCATGACTGCAGCGTCGCGAGGATGATGCACATCGCACAACCAGAGTCGTGGAACGCGGCGCATACCCGCTCTCGCTGCGGCTCCTGCAGCGCGCCTGAGATGAGGGCAAAGTCCACACCGTCCACAAGACCACCTACCTGCTGGAGCACCTCTCCCACTAAAGCGAGGTTTTTCAGTGAATATGAGAAGACAACAACCTTCTCCTGCCGCGCCAACGCCCCGTGGAGCAGAAAGAACAGACCCTTCATCTTCCAGCTGTGTTGAAGCGAGAGTCCTGCCTGCCCCCTTCGGTCAAGAATGGAAGGGATGATAAGACTAGGCAACGCCCATGAAACTGATATCGAAGACTGGCAGCGCGTGTTGCGCTCCTGAATGACTCCAGCCGGTGTATTCTCATCGATGCCACGGCGCCGGCACCAATCCGCTACAACATCGCAATGGCTGCTGATCATCCATAGCCGAGACGCGAAACGTGCACGGTGATGCCTCCGAATTATTCCACGTTCCTGCAGAATCAAAGCAAGATCCTGCATCATCTGTCGTTGCACCGGGGAAAAGTTGAATACAATTGATGTTTCGTGAAGCACTGGCAACTCCCGCGCCAGCACACTGGTGTCACGCACATGTAGCAGAGACTTCAGATCACGCGGATCCGTTGATACGCGGCGACCCTGGCGCCGGTCTGCACACGGCGAAGGCACAACAACGCGGAGAAGTGCATGCACTTCATCAGTCTTCCCTGGTGGCGGGTTCCCAGCGAGCGCCATCCCGGTGAGCGCGAGACGCGGTGTGGAGGGCGGCAGTGCACGCACAGCCGCCGCTAGCGATGAACGAGCTGTGCTGATTTTGTGCGCCTCATCGAGGACGAAGAGCGTGCAGTGTGCGAGGAGGATCACGCGACATGCACCGTAGGCCGCCGCAGCAGCAGTAGCAGCAGCTGCTGCTGTACAGCCCCCCTTCCTTCTCGCACCCTTCGCTTCGTAATCCTCGTCTTCATTTTCGCCATCCAACCAAAATGCATCTTCCATCATTCCTGTATTTTTGTCGCTGGCATCGTTCTTCTTCCCCGCGGCTGCCGCAGAGTCAGTCGCCGTGCCAGAGCTGTTCATGATGGCGGCGAACAGTGCGTGGGAGATTAGAAGCACTGTGCGGTCCGCCGTGTGTGACGCCCAGTCGCGCAGCAGTGCCGCTCGGTCCGACTCACGGCTGTCGCCACTGAGAACAAACACTGTAAGAGGTGCCGCCTCCCCCGCCAAGCGCGGCCAGTCGGCAAGTTCACGCACCCAATGCAGCAGGATACCTCTAGGGGCGCAGATGACGGGGCGAAGCGCGCCGCTCTCGCGCATGCAACACGGCAACGCAGCATGATTGGGATGCACACGAAGGAACGACCAGAGAACCAGCAGAAAAGCAATCGTTGTGAAGGTTTTGCCGAGTCCCATAGCATGGGCAAGAACACATCCACGGAATTCGGTAGCGTATCTTCCGCTCATATTGGAAGGAGATTCAGTGGCTCGCTTTGTGGCACTCAGAGAACTTTTGCCGCGGCGTGCGCGCAGCTGTTCCACTACTTCCTCCATCGGGTCACCGTGCGACTCATCCGCAGGCGTATCGCGCAGCAGGTGCGACCACACGAAGCGCAGCCCTTCCCATTGGTGTGGTCGAAGTAGTCGGCATAGGCTCTGCCGAACATACCACGCCGGAAGCCTGATGTGGTGCGGATTGATGAGACGGGACGCCGGTGCAGAGAAGGATGAATCAAAGGAAGATGTTGTGGCATTGTCATTAGGCAATTGGGGATGCGGAAGCGCATTATTGGTGTCCTTTTCCGTTTTAAGACCGTCGCACTCTGCTGCTTCTGAACATCGCTCAATAGCGGACATCACCAAAGCCAGTCGCTGGCGTTTCCTTTCCGCCAGCGATAGGGGCCTTCCCTTCGCATTTTTCTCACAGCCAACGGCATTGCATTGAGTGCGCCGCCGCATAAGGATGGGCAAGGGACTCGCCGTCGTTGCCTTTACTGTCGCCGCACCTCTTGCAGCGTCGTGGCTCGACTCCCGAGTAACATCAATGTCAGTCGAAAACAGTGCTGCGAGGGAATCTCGGCAGTTACCCTGATGGAAAGCAGTGTTGTTGATTTTGGCTAACTCAAACTGTGAGCAGAACAGATCTTTCCTGAGCTGTTGGCCACCATCCAACGCCGCCTCAATTTCTGGAAGGTTGGATGCAAGATTCGACTTTATCAACACAAATTGGCTTTGTGAGCCAAGCCGGGAGGGGACACTGTCGCCGCCAGACTGAGCGCCCATCGCATTGTTGTTGTCATTGCTTTGCGCACTATATGATCTGGTAGGGACCTCGTTCTTAACCTTCCCATCCTTCCTCTTAGCGTTTATCGCTTCCTGTATAGTCTGGTCACCAGCAACATTCTCCACTTTCGTACAGGCTCTGATGGTGGGCACCATACTGGTCGCGTGAATGGATGTAGCCCCAAGCCCCAGTCCGTCCCGCAGGTCCGTTAAGAAAGACTTCAGAGTCTCCTTAGCGTCGACAGAGCGCATCCGTTTTTTCCCTCGACTTAACGAAGATCTGGTAGGCATTTTCGTCAGAACTTCAAGCATTCGTGTTTTTCCTGGTGCCGTCGTTGTTACCGTTGTTGTTGCCGCTACAGGCACGTCATGAGGCGGTGGGGTGGTGCTCACATTAATGTCCTCATCGTCCTCCGTCAGCTCCTCCTTTTTCATGGAGCCGTAGCGGGGAAGAGGAACAATTCGATCCTCCTCAGACGAGAGCAATGACGAAGTCCTGCTGTGCGTATGGGTAGAAACTGGCGCTCCGTTTGTCTTCCCCGCATTGGATGGTTGATGTTTGTCAACCTCTTGTACATCTTTTCCCGTTTCAGTAGGTGGTGCCGCTTTTCCCTCTAAATTCCCGTTCGTTGTCGGAATGCATGTATTGTAAAGAGGTATCTTTGCCTCTGTGTCATGCCTTTGACGTTGCAATGAAGCTGTGGAACCATGAGCATCTGCCGTGGGTTGTTTCTTCGCCAAGTTGCGTCTGTCAAACAACCCCAGTGGCTTTTTTCTCTTGATGATGACAGGGGACAGAGCCAGCAGATGCTCCTCTGCCTGGCCGTCGGGTTGCTGCACCACGCAAGCCGTTTCCTCTGGCTCCCCACATTTGGTGGTCGTCGGTGGCGTTGTATACACGTGGCTTTCCTTTCCACCCTCAACAACAACGCACGACATCACTTTATCGTAAGACCTTGTATCGTCACGCGGGATGATCCCCAGGCCAACAACTGTCGTGATGGCCCGCATTGAGAGGTCATCACTTCCCTCTTCTGGCTTTGTGTGGGCATCCAATGCACTCAATGAGGTAGCTGTCACGTTGTCATTTGTGGCAGTCGCTACGAGGTCAGCGAGGGAAGGACCCAACACTGGACCTGCAGCGCCTTCGTCATTCAACCCGTATTCGGGGTGGTAAGCAAGAGAAGAAGGAATAAAGGAGCCATCACCCTTACTTGTGCACTGCATCAGCAGGATGGATTGGAGAGCCTTGTTGGTGGAGTCATGCGTGTCTCCCACCCGTCGTGATGCACCACTTGTGCTCTCACTTTCTGCTGCAGGCTCACACACCACTGCAGAAGGAAAGTGGTCTGCCTGTATGTTTCCCTTCTCTTTCTGCTGCACTGCGTCGGCTACAATTTCCATGTCACTGGGTTGCAGCCCTGTCTTGGCCTGCACAGGCTCCTTCTCTACTGCCGCATGCAGCGGAGCAGTAGTGCCAGATTCGCCTCGGTCGGCACAGCAACCAGCCAGGCGGCGTTGGATCCACACAGCACGGCGCCGCGACACCAAACACCGCGCAAAAACATGGAAACGAAGCTGCAGTTGTCTCGCTGAAAGCGAATCACCTACATTAACCTTTGATCCGGCACCAAGCTCCAGCGTTAGCAGCGGTTCGTTCCACGCCTTGGTATCGCATGGATCAAATGCAACGGGTGGGGATGTGGCACCTGACGCCAAACGCCGGCCGTCCACAAATGTGCCGTTCACGCTCCCACTATCACGAACGCTAACAACGCACCATTCATGGGTGCCACGTGGAGACTGCGTCGATTGGCCGCGAGAGAACTGCAGCACACAATGCTTGCGTGACATCAATGGGCCTTGTGCGGCGACCTTGAACGTAATCACGCCGCTGCACTCCGCAGGGTCGCGCCCCAGGGGCACGAACAGCAGTGCAGGAAAAGGGGGCGCATCAGGCACTGCCTCTCCATTGTACGAGAAGGGCAAGGATCCATCTTCTTCACAGAAAAAGCGTGCAATTAGACGGCAACGCTTGTGGCCATCCACTGACCCGTGGCGTATATATGACGGCAGGATACTCCCCTTCATCTCCTCCCCACCCGTCAACTTGTGCGGCACCGCACAGATGCCACCGAGACCCGACAGCTGGTGCAAGTTGTGAACGGCAACAATCGCGATTTCCATCTTTTTTTTTTTCGCATCGACACTTTTTTTGTTAAATTGCACGCTCCTGTCTATCAAAGACAGAAGAATAATACCAAAAACAAAACAAAGGAGAGTTTGTTACGCCTGTGGAAAGCGTTTATTCGTTCTTTCTCTGCATCCCTCACCTCAGTGTTGGAAACGGTTGGTGAAGATTGTGTTGTAATGGTTGTCAGAGCGACGGCTGCTACGCAGCTGCACCGTCACCGTCACCATCACCGTTCTCACCTGGGCGCAGGAGCCAATAGCCCTTCTCCTGCTCGCGCTGCCTCCGCAGGTACTCATGTTGCTGCTCCGCCGTTGAGTTGATCACACGCAGGAACTCCTGTTTTTTGTTGTCATCCCGCGAGAGTTCATAGAGGTGGTAATCCTCAGCCTCACCAAACTTGGTCAGTGCACGCCAATAATCATTCCACAAGTGATTCAATCCACACCGCAGCAGGCGGTGATAAGACAAGATGCACTGCGGCTCTGATGTCTTTGTCTCTACTTCACGATTTGCATTGTAGCAATCCATCAAAGCTGCTCGATAAGTGGTGCAATTGGGGTGCAGTGCAGCGTTCTGCAAAAGTGTCTCTTGGTTTTGTTGTGAGCCCATGCACCCCACGTAAGCTTTGTGGGTGGGGCGGCATTTCTTCTCATTTATGCCATTTTTGGTGTTTATCTCGTGGGATTTGTCGCCATGTTCGATGAGGCGGTGTTTCTCCAAACACGCCGTGTAGTCATCAAGCTGCTTGTAGCATATGTACGCATTGAGATTCTGGCGCATCATGAAGGAGTTGTGCTCCTCTTCCAAAGCAGGGTCAGCATCAGTGCCACGCTCTGCGATGGCTTTGTTCTGTTCTTCTCGCCACTGATCAAAGAGATCCATGGAGAACTGTGAGTGCTTTGACGGTGTACTCAACGGCCGCCATGCGTTCTTGGACATAACGCGCTAACACCTCTCCGAGGTCCCAATGGAATGGACCGTCAAACATCAAGTGAAGGATTGGGTAGAGAAAGCAAAACGGCGATGCGTTCGTAGTACAAACACTCTTCCAGGTGTGGAATGTAAGTAAAAAAAAAAAAAAACGGTAGCATCATCGCTACCACCATCACCATCAGCATTAACCATGGTGAAGAATAAAAAACTAGGGGAAATAAAGATATAACTGGTGCGGAGCCCTCCCTGATGGTCTCCCCCCGGCGGGTCGCGCCCCGCTGCATTACCGCCACCATGTAAACACAGGCAGAAGCGCCGCAGAAGGGACGCGAAATCATGCACATGGGGGTGATCCTGGCGAGTACCTCAAATTACCCTCTGACATGGAAAAACATCTGCTGAATGCATTATTTCCGTGCCGGGGCGCTCTGCTGGTTGCGAGCCTGAGGTGCCCTCTTGTCGCTGCGCGGTTTGTTGCCCTGCTGGCGGCTGCCCTCCTCGTTCCTGGCGGGGCGGCCACCGCGCTTCTGCTGCTGCTGCTGCTGCTGCTGAGGCCTGCGCGCACCACCCTTCTGCGCACCCCCACG